TCACGGACCGTTCTGGTTGTTTTCTAGGCGGCGGGCATGTTCCTGGGCGAGTTCTCCTGCCTGGCCGTCTTCTACCTCCTGCTCTGCAGCGACCGGCGGAGGGCTGAGCCCACTATGGCTCCCCCTCAGCCCTTTAACCCCCTGCTCTTCCTGCCACCGGCCTTGTGTGACATGACGGGAACCAGCCTCATGTATGTGGGTGAGTGTATTTTTTTTTTCTCTGTAAGGGCTAACCTGGCACCTGGAGTGATGCACAGACCAGAGTTTGCAAAGTTGTTTTTTTTTAAGTAACCCGTTACTGTTAGTTTCTGGCAGTGTTCAGAAAGCAAATTGCAAAACACGGTTTGTAAAGTAACGTCTCGCCTTGTGGTTCTGTTGTGTCCCATCAAGTCATGTCTGACTTACGCTGACTCTCAACCAGGAGCTCTAGAAACACGTTCTGCATTAAATGCAAATTAGTTGTTGTTCTGTGCTTACCAATACAAGCCTGTGGCTTCCTTTAGGGATTTAGCCCATCTCTTATTGGGCCTTCCTCTTTTCCTGCTGCCTTCCACTTTCCCCACAGCTCCTGTCTTTTGCAGAGTTTTGCCTTCTCACGATGCTGCCCAAAGCCTCAGCTTCAGCCTTTTTGCTTCTGCTGAGAGTTAAGGCTTGATCTTGAAAGTGTGTAATATAACATAGGGACTCGGGGGGGTCCGTCGGGGTTCCGTTTCGGCAGTCCACAGCGACTGGGCGCTTTCTAGATGCAGAGCCTTTTCCCCTTGTGCTCGCTACATCTCCTGTCTTCTCACGACGTCGGCCTTTCTATTGCAGCGCTCAACATGACCAGCGCCTCCAGCTTCCAGATGCTGCGAGGGGCTGTGGTCATCTTCACCGGCCTCCTTTCCGTGGCCTTCCTGGGGCGGAAGCTGGGGGTGAGCCAGTGGCTGGGCATCGTGATCACCATCCTGGGCTTGGTGGTGGTCGGGCTGGCCGATCTGCTGAACAGCCACGACGAGAAGCACAAGCTGAGCGAGGTCATCACAGGTAAGGGAAGGAGAGGATGGGTGGGTGCCTGGTGGGAGGCAGGGAGGGACCAGTGCCTAGAATCCCAGTTTGGAAAAGTTACTTTTTTGGGGGAGGGGGGAAGCTGTAAGTCCTCAGACATTGCAGCCCATGGCACAGAAAGTGGAATAAGGGTGGACCGGGCCCTGAAATGCTGAGCATGGAATTTGAGCCAACATTTCCAAAGGGAAGGTCTGCATGCGGTCCAGTCACCGTACACCATGCATGCCCAATCATCATCCTACAGGGGCATGGGGATGTTTCCTCTAGAGCAGAGTTTGGGTTGGGGGAGCATGTGGGCTTTCTGAATGCTACTGGGCTCCGATTCATGCCCCTCCCACACACCATGGGCTGGCTGAGGATGATAGGAAGCTGCTTGCCAGCAATCTCTGGGGAGTCACATCTTCCTCACCCACCCACCCCCCGCTGTAGAGGAGCAGCCCACTTCAGACAACCTCCTATTGGGCTTCAGAGCTATTGGGGGCATGGGGGGGGGGGAAACAGCAGCCTTAAAAACCATTCCTTGGGGAAGTTAAAGCAGCCTAAATCAGTCGGGGTATATTAATTATAATCCCTAAAGGGAAGTTTCATTTCATTGGGTGTGTGTTAATTCCCTGTAATCTGGATCGTGTCCTATGAAATCAGACTAATAACTGCCATGGCGTACAACAAATTGGGCCTTCCTTAGAATCAGTCACCGCCTTAACAATGGCCCATGTGGGCCAGAGAGAGGAGTGTGTGTTTCCCCAGGCTCTTCCCCACTTGGCAGAACGGAGAGCGGTTTTATGTCTTCCTCTCGTGGAGTCCGTGGGGACGCTGAGTTTTTGGGGAGGATGGGGGTGTCCTTCCTGGAGTGCCTAAAGTCCCTCCACTTTGCAGGGGACCTGCTCATCATCATGGCCCAGGTGATCATCGCCATCCAGATGGTCCTGGAGGAGAAGTTTGTCTACAAGCACAACGTCCACCCTCTGCAGGCCGTGGGGACGGAAGGTATGGGACCTGAGGGGTGTGTGTGTGTGTGTGCGTGTATGCGTGGGGAGGGGGAAGGCCATGAAAGGACTCTGTGAGCCCCCATCCTCCTGGCTATCTGTGGGAAAGAGCTTCCATCAGCAGCAGCCGGTCCAGACACTCTCCCTTGTTGTCTTCCTGCCGGAAGGGCCAGCAGGAGGGAGCCCACCTGACTTCTCCAGGGAGAGCCTTCCACCGCCGGGGAGCAGCCACCAAGAAGGCCATCCCTGGCATCCATGGCCAATGTCTCTGTAAGGGTGGTGAGGGTGAGACCACAAGGTCTGAGGAGCCAAGAAGGCTCACGCCAGGAGACACGCTCCATCAGATCACCAGGACTTGAGCCACGAAGGGTGTGAATAGGTCGTAACCAGTCTAGAAAGAGAGGCAACTGGGGAAGCATTTTTAACACGATAGTTATAGGATCCTAGAAAAGTGAAGTTGGAAGGGGCCTCTAAAGACCATCCAGCCCAACCCTCTGCTCAAGGCAGGAATCCAAATCCAAGCAGATCTGCCAAGGGATTATCTACGGGATCCCTGTAACCAGCCCCTTCCTCCCGTGTCCTTGATGTCCCTTCCTTGAGGTTCCGTGGCTTCCAGGAAATGGTGCAAATTGGACTCGGCTGATAGGTCAATGCCCCCTCGAATGGGTCGGCGCCGGCACAGCCGACCGTCCTCCTGCACTCAGTTCTCCTTTCCTCTCTCCTCTCCTCCCGGCAGGCTTTTTTGGGTTCGTCATCCTCTCCCTCCTCTTGATCCCCATGTACTTCATCCCGGGGGGCAGCTTCAGCGGCAACCCCCGGCAGGTCCTGGAGGACGCCCTGGACGCCTTCTGCCAGATCGGACACCTCCCGCTCATCGCTGTGGCTCTGCTGGGCAACATCAGCAGCATCGCCTTCTTCAACTTTGCCGGCATCAGCGTCACCAAGGAGATCAGCGCCACCACCCGCATGGTGCTGGACAGCCTGCGCACCGTGGTCATCTGGGTGGTCAGCCTGGCCGTCGGCTGGGAGGCCTTCCACGGGCTCCAGATCCTGGGCTTCCTCATCCTCCTGGGGGGGAGCGCCCTCTACAACGGACTGCACCGGCCACTCCTGGCCCGCCTGCCCTGGAGGAGGCTGAGGGCGGGCGGCGATACGGAAGGGCTCGTGGCCACCGATGGGGCGTCCATCAATGGGGACAGCTGATGACCAGGGAGTGGTGATGACCTGGGCTGTGCCTCTGGCCAGGCAGACCTGCCCCTGCCACCGGGATGTCCTGGGTGGGACACACATACCCCCAACACCCCTTGTGGTTGGCTCTGGACACTTGCTGGGGGGGCGCTTCGTGTCAATGGGAAAGGTGGGAAATTGCGCTACATCATTCTGCGTTCTTCCAAGAATGTCCATCGGTTGCATTGTTGTTCCGGTAACGGTCGGCCCAAAGTGACCGGGGACCTGCTTTCCAGTCCTTGCTAGAAAACCACCCAGCATCTAGCTCCGTTTCCTGGCACGGGGAGGGTTTAAAAAAGGGCTTTGAAGCCCCTTCCTGCCTCTTCCTCCTGGAGACCCTTCTCATATCACGGCCCAGAGATGGGAAAAGCTCCTTTTCTGAAGCATCCCTCAGAGCCAGTGGCCGCACCGGCTGGGGCTTCTGGGATGTGTCCTTGTGAGAAGGAATGTTTCTCATCTCTGGTTTTGACCCTCGAGATTTTTCTCTCTCCGAACACAAAGCAATCAGAATCCATGAGTTAACTTCCCTAACAGCCTTCCCCCCCCTTTTTTTTTTTACTGTTAAAGAATCCATGAGTTAACTTCCCTAACAGCCTCCCCCCCTTTTTTTTTTACTGTTAAAAGCTATAGTAGGCAGTTCCAAAGTGTTTTTTTTTTTTTGCACTGCAACTCCCATTGGCCCCAGCGGTGATGGATGGTGGGAATTGCAGTCCTGGGACGTCTGGAGACGTAGAAGGCATCCTTTCCCCAATGTAACGAGCTTCTTCCTTAAGGTCCTTCTGTAAGACGAAGCCCTTCTCCCTAGCGTCTTTCCACAAGGAAGAGATGCGGGGGACACAGAAACTTCTTAAGAGTTAGCAGAAGTAAGGAGAAGGCCCCGTGGTCCCCAAAACAATACGAAAGCAGGTACAGGCGATACCTTTATTGGACCATTAAGAAAACAAAGCAACAAACAGCAAACTTTCAATGACAATTCATCTTCTTCAGGCTATGCACTGAGTTCTTAATGGGTAGCTCCAAAATTATACAAGACGTTGAGACTAATAAAAGCATAGAATTTGGAGCCACCCATAAGAACTGAGTGCACAGTCTGAAGAAGAGGAATCCTCATTGAAAGCTTGCTGTTTTTTTTTTTAATCCTTATTCTGAATGGACCAATCAAGGTATCACCTGTTCCTGCATTTGCATTTTTAAAGGTTCAAACCCTGAAACTGCCATTTACTCTCAGATGCAGTTACCTTTTTTTCCTGCTCGGGCAAGAGAAGGATTGTATTTCACCCTGAGGGAGCCAGGGTTGGAGGAGAAGGAAGGGGCTCTAACCCCCCCCCTCCAAGCTCTAAACTCTGAGTCTATTTTTCCTTGGGCCTGTCCTTCCTGGAGTAAAGGCTGACCCAGAGCCTTGGAGAAGACGGAGTGCCGGGATGGTGGCCTCCCTGCGTCTCCCTGGCTTCACTTTTAAGAAGAGGAATCCTCATTGAAAGCTTGCTCGTGTTTTTTTTTTAATCCTTATTCTGAATGGTCCAGAGCCTTGGAGAAGACGGAGTGCGGGGTACATGCTGAGTTGCCCCTCTCCATCTGACTCACTTGGGGGGCAGCTTTGGGCCCACTTCTAGACTTCTGTGTCTCCCTCCTCCAGAAGACGTTTCGGCCTCTTGGTGGGTCTTGAAACCCCATTGAACAGGCGGCGGCATCAACACTCCCATGGACAGGGGAGGACCCTAATATCTCCACAGCGAGGCTATGGAAGATCAGCTCACGGTGAGGCCATCACAGGGACCGGCTTCAGCTGCCCAGCCAGGCTCAGCCTTGGGACTGGATTCCGAACAGACCTTGTTTGCCTTTCCTCCCTTGGGGGATGATGGGGATTGTAGTGGGAGGGAGGGAAGGAGCGTGTCTCTGTCTTGGGGATATTAAAAATGACGTCAATAAAAACAGCCTGGCCTTCGTAACACATTCAGGGCAGGATTGGGACCAGGCGTGGTGGCCCCATCCAGCCAGGCTCAGCCTTGGGACTGGATTCCGAACAGACCTTGTTTGCCTTTCCTCCCTTGGGGGATGATGGGGATTGTAGTGGGAGGGAGGGAAGGAGCGTGTCTCTGTCTTGGGGATATTAAAAATGACGTCAATAAAAACAGCCTGGCCTTCGTAACACATTCAGGGCAGGATTGGGACCAGGCGTGGTGGCCCCATCCAGCTGCCTTGTCTCCTCTGCGGATCAGAGGCCGCTGTGGGCAGATCTGAGGCTCAGCCTGGTCTTCCCTGCAGGGCGGGTGTAAAGGTGCCTGCACAGCAGGGCGCGATAGCGGTAGCCGCGCCGATGAACGGGGCAGCCCAGCCTCTACTCACGAGTTGACCTTTCTCATTCAAACCAGAATAACAAGAGTCCCGGGGGGTCGGAGGGGGGGGCCTGCTGTAGCTGAGCTCTAACCCATCAGGAAAGGTAAGTGGGGCTGGTGGGGAGAAGGCAGTGTTCCCCACCAGGAGGAGCACAGGGCACAGGCCCTCGCAGCCCAGAAGGGCTTGGGAATCTTTTGTGCTGGTAGTTGGGGGGGGGTGTCAAGACAGTAGGTCACTGCCCTGAGGAGCTTTCAATCTGAATAGCAAATTGAGGGATGGGTTTTTTCCCCACTTCTGTGCTCATTGATAAGTGGTGCGGTTTCTGCCCACCCTGCTAGGGCAGACCCTCTCCCCATAGCCAGAGGCCCGCCCCCACCTCGCCAGCCAGGCTGCCCCACTGAGTAGACCCTTTGCCCCAGGGAGAGGCAGAATAGCCTCGCTTTCTCCTCAAACAACTGTTTGGGTTCCTCCCAGGGAAGCGGGCGGCTGTCTCACAGGTAAAGTTGCAAGATCTCCTTCAATCTGAATAGCAAATTGAGGGATGGGGTTTTTTCCCCACTTCTGTGCGCATTGATAAGTGGTGTGGGTTTCTGCCCACCCTGCTAGGGCACACCCTCTCCCCATAGCCAGAGGCCCTCCCCCACCTCGCCAGCCAGGCTGCCCCACTGAGTAGACCCTTTGCCCCAGGGAGAGGCAGAATAGCCTCGCTTTCTCCTCAAACAACTGTTTGGGTTCCTCCCAGGGAAGCGGGCGGCTGTCTCACAGGTAAAGTTGCAAGATCTCCAAGGTTCAAATCCCAGAGCAAGCCTGGCTGGAAGGAGAAAAGGCCCTTTCCCACGTGTGTCTTGGGTCCAGAGGGTAGCGCGGTGTGTGTGTATGTATACATATATATATAGAGAGAGAGAGAGAGACCTGAACCCAGCTGTCAATCCTCTCTACCTCTGGGAGAGGACGGGATTTCCCCCAGGAGATGGGTGCAAACGGTGCCCGCTGGAAATCGGACGGTTGGAGGATGGCTTTGCCCTGGACGGGCAGTTCAGAGCCGTTAGCCTTGCAAAAGACCCGCTCCTCCTACGATCAACCGGGGGGGGGCAGGCAAGAGCGTGGCCTGCATTTCTGAGTTGTCCTCCTTGCCCGCGGCACCAGGGCGGAAGAGGGGAACTCTGTCCATGCTCAGAGGCCCCTCCTTGATCTTGCCCCTAGAACAAAGAATCGGAAGCAGGAACGGCTCTCCGCCCGCCCGCTGGAGAGGGAGAGGCTTTCGCTTTCGCTTCTGCCCGGCGGCGGCGGAGGAAGTTCTGGGCGGCCGGAGCCCGGAGGAGCCCCAT